ATTGTCCAGTTCCCCTCCTTCGTGTCTATCCTTACCGATATGATTCGACTGCTGACCCTGTTGACGGCGGAGACAGAGTCTTTCAGGGAGTCTGCCACTGCTACAGCCACACCATTTCGTTTAGTGTCATCTCCGTTGTAGAAGAGTTTGACACCCTCTCCAATTTCTCTGGCCTTTGCTCCCTTCCAGCGGGTCTCCTGAAGGCATAGGACATGGATGTTCCTGCGCTTCATAAGATCAGCGACTTCGCGGGACTTTCCAGTAAGCGAACCCACATTTAGAGTCCCTATTCGAACTAACTTCTTTAGCCGAGGTCGTTCACTCCTCGGTAGCCCTCGCATACTGTCCACAGAACTCAGGCGAGGGCCCTGTGCGCCACTTCCGGGTGACGTCCTAGCTTTATCACGGATACTCTTTGAGACTTTAGACATATTTGTTGTGACTGGTTTCTCCATCAGCCGGCCTGTCAACCTGGCCTGACGCTGGTACCGATACCATTTTTTGCAAATTTTTGCAAGGCATGGAGTTGCCTCGGCAGGGATCGAACTCGCAATTCCCCTAAGTGCAGACGTGAGCCTACACTCTTATCCACTCGGCTATCCCTGCCTCGCACTTGATCCGCGCTATGAAGGGAAAGATTTGCATTCCCTATGGAAGGATACAACGGGTGTGTGGCGATTCGTGCGATTCTGCGTGCGCTCGGCAACTTGCGCGGCGAAATTCGTGCCGATTTGTACGACTCTGACGCCATTTTTTCGGGGCACAAACTTGAAGTAGGGTAGTTAAGTGGGGTCAGATGATCCTTCTAATCTACGCCACTTCAAATTTGGGCCCCAATGATAGACGCTGCAGTCGTCCAAATCGCACCGGATTTCGAAAAAAATCGAACCGAACAGTCGCCTCGGAACCACAGCCACTGGCCGTGGAAATACGGGTAGAACTTCCGCCACCCCTTCCAGAGTCCACCGACGTGCACTGTTCCCACCGACTGACTTACCGACGCCGTTGCTGGCCACGTGTTGACAACACAGGGTAGATTGCTGCTTTCAGACTTCAACGATTCAACCGACGTTCGTTCGTCCGTCCTTCACGTGCGTGCGAACAAATGCGGCGCTAGCCACTTGTTGACAACACTGGCACATCGATGTCCAATGTTGCCAACACCTGTGTAGCGCAGCCGCCGTTCGCACGTACACGACGGAAGGACGAACGGACGCCGATTGAATAGTTGAAGTCTGGAAGCAGCCGATGGCTACTTTCAGAGTTCACCGGTGTGCCTTCCGTGCATGCGTCCAACCCACCGACCAACGGTTGTGGTGGGTGTGAGTTGACAGCACTGAACGCCGATGGGTCGAGCATTCATGTGGTTCGAGTGCGACGTGATTCTCACAAGAATTATACACACCAGGAGTTTTTAGACATAATTCTCAGTTGGAAGAAGTATGCCCCTTGGCATGCTAAATCGTCGCGTCGCTTTCGCCCATTATTCCTACAGTAGGTACGATTGAGGAAGGATCTCGAAGGAATATCGACCGTTGGGCCAGCAAGTCAACGCGGCCACAGCAAAAAGCTGCTCCCAAAGTCGCAGTCCTTCTCTCGTAATGAGTTCCTTAGTGACGAGCTCCTGTGGCTACGACATACACTCGTTTTGCGTTCAAAGCCGCAGAACGGATCGAATGGATCACCGGATTTTAGTGTCGTCGGCCATTTGAGAATACTTATTCTCCCCATATGGGATGGCTGACTTCGCTTAGAGAGGCAAATCCACCTGTTGTGCTCCTTCGTTCAGGCCTCTGGGATCTAATCGCACGAACGATCTGGCTGTCTCTATGCTTGAAGCCAAAAGTATCTAGAATCTTCTGACGAAAGAGTATAACTCAAGGCTCAGATTATAGACACGGTAGAGAGCAGTTGTGTATCTCAGAAACTTTATTAATCTACTAAAAACAACATATACAGACACACTGATCGATCGGTCAGTCTTTGCTATTTCGCGGGTCGATTGAATTCATTAGTTGCTCAACTGAAATGAAAATAATATCAGGAATGGCGAATACACTTCTGGTCAATAATATTTGGGAGCAAACTTTAACGAATAAGGACAGAAGAATAAAAGTGAGTGTATAGAAGGATAAAGTTTCGAGTCGTTGAACAATTTCTTTATGGGATGCGACGTGAACGGTTTTCTTTCAACGGTGTTCCAATGGAAACTACAGGAATTTCTGCAGGGCTTGCCGGCAGTGTAAACAGACTGAATATGCCTAGTTCAGAGACTCGAGCCTCTGAGTTCTAAAATGGCGTTCGAGAAGAGTCATATCCGGTATCTCCAGTCACTGAGCTCTGCGAAGGTGACAAGGTCAAAACTCAAGCCGAACGAAGGTGGACAGACTTGATTAAGGCTTTGCGGACCTCTTAAGGATGGTTCGGGGTGAAGCGCGATATGAAGGGTGGGTTAGGGGGGGGGGGTTAGAACATGATTTGGCGCTCAGCAGTGACTAGGATTTCATTAGCTCCATTTCCCTCTTCAGGGCTGGTGCCTATGGTTGTTCAGCCACCTAATTTCACGTTAGCCACAAATCATTCGACATATACATCGTGTAAAATTCTTTTTTAAATTTCATATACCTTTTATCACAAACCCTTAATCAAAGAAATGCGACTGCGTGTGGAATATCAGCAACGATAGGAAATGGTTGAATAAATGCATCAAGAAATGGCTCCAAATGTCTCTAAGATTAAGAAATTAAAGTCATTTCGATATATATTGTAGTATTCATGAAGCAGTATTTTAAGCGTATAATTTCGAGAAAGTTACGCAACTCACCTATGAAAAACCACCGGGTCCCATCATGAACGGTCCCATTCCCATTCCACCTCCAAAACCGCCGAATCCAGGCATTGCGCCTTGGCCGAAGCCACCCAGTGATCCCATTCCGAGCGATGGAAATGAACTGAATGCACCGGGTCTACCAAACTGGCCCAAACCCGTCATTCCTCCTGGGAATCCTGAAAGTCCAGGATAGCCGCCGGCGCCCATGAGCGAAGATGAGCCAAAGCCACCAAAACTTTGTGCGTTAACAAGTGAGCCGAGGGTTAACGAAACGAGAACAACCCTAAAAAGTCGATTTTATGATTAAAATTGAAAATTCTGCTTGTAATAAAGTTTAAATAGCTCACAATGAGAAGTCCATGGCTTGAGGGTGTGTGAGTGCTCTGTTGGCTTTTTGTGTCAAACCGCACGCTTTATAACAATCCACAGTTTGTCCATGGACTACTTTTTCTTCATTGTTGACACCAACTGCAACCAGAAAGAACTGCATGATGAGTGCTTCCAGCGCGGGCAGTCCACTTGTTGAAACATCCCCGAAAAACATTTTTTCTAACTTCAGGAAACTGGTCTCAGCCGGCAAGTGGACAGGAAGTAAATAGCCGAGTGCAACTTCGAACGTCTTCAGAATTAGGGAACAAGGAGAGAGATATGATGCCAAGTCAGCTAACAGAGCGAAGAATTAAACGGTGAATCACGTTTTGATTTTCAAGGTGAAGGTTGGTTGGTAAGTGTTACTGCGTAAAGATTTATAGATTTTTTTATTAATTCATCAAATTCATCACACCAGCCCTGCACACGAACGCGTGCTTCGCAACAAAGAATGGGGAGAGGTGGATTATGAGTTTTTGCAAGAAGTTAGGAAACGCTTCGCTTACAGCGGATGAGTCTCCTTTGTCCGATTTATTTACCTATTTCTAACCATTACCCATTTTTCTTGGTGTGTGGACGTTTTGAAGCAAAAATATGAAGTCTTTCTCATTACACCGCCCGTTCACTGTTTCACGCCTTGAGAGCCAGGCTCCCTGAGCTCATATGTGCTCTGTTAATCATGCTCGCAGTCCCAGCCATCTCAAAGTTCGGCTCGACTTCTTCAGGTAATTTCGAAGAGAAGACAGAAACGAGTTCTCAATATATAGTAAGTGACGATGATGATTTTCTCACGTATGGAGCGACTTTGGATTTTAAAGACGTCTTCGTACAGTGTTGTGGATCTTTGATTTTATTGTCAGCTCCACCTGCCCCAGTAAATACCCCGTCCACTTTAGGAGTTTGGCCAGAATCGTTCTATTACCTCCAACCACTTTTTCCACCGTTTAGAGCGTGTTTAAACAGACTCATGGCTCTTTGATCTTGGCCCCGCCCACCTCGCCCACTTCAGGATGGGACCACATTATCTCTATTGCTTCAGACCACTTTTTTGCGTTCTAAAAACGGGTTCGTTCAAACGAGTTATGAATTTTCCATATTAGCTCCATCCCTTGTGGGTGGAGCTCCGCCGAGCTCGCATATGCTTTTTTGGTCTTGTTCTATGCCTGTGCGGAAAAGGGACCACACTTTAAAGCGACCGATGCAGGTAGATCCTTAGGGAATTTGGTGCCTATTATTGAGCTCCAAATTTGAAGTAGAGCAGTTTAGTGGGGTCAGATGATCCAAGCTCGCGCCCTAATGATAAACGCCGTCAGAGGCTACTTTCAGAGTTCGACGACCGTCCGTCGTCCGTCCGTCCGTCCGTTCA